ACTAGCTGCAACATGTTAAGCATTCAGGTGATACCGGAGGCTTGACGTGCTGCGGTGATATGCAAATCCTTTTTTGCATAGTTTGCACAAGACAATTTTTTTATCCAGGCTTCCATCCACGCCGGAGCCAATCAAAACGCATTCATTTTTGACTTTGTTCATTTTTCCATGTGCTGGATAGGACTGGAATCACTGCTGCACTCACTCAATTTGGGGTGCGCTGGTATAAGCGGTATACTTGAAACTCGTCCAGTGTTAATATTACTGTAATTAATTAATTGCAATCAACGCGTTAAAGTCCCGGCCCTTGTCAGTTGTAACCTAACTTCACACCACTGTAAACAGAAAAGTCCCCTTGGCATCATCGTCTCAGAGCCATGGCTGTTAAAGCAAACAGCTAGGCGTACCAGCACACAGGAGAAAGCCGGGTCAAGCCATACAGCGGCTACACAAACACTTTAATGTAAGGTTACCAATTAGGCAAACCAGCCCCTCAGTTCATTAGCCAGGACCGCTTCATATGAATCAGTGAGCTGCCAACAAACCCTCTGCCCCCCTCTCTGTGTATGTTATGAGGAGTAATCCATCGTCCTCAGAGCGCTAATTCTCCCATGTGCCCCTGACCTCGACCTGAGCGTATGCTCACCAATGTCATCAAGATGGATCGGGAGAAAATGAGATGTAACAATATGGCAGGGAGGGCTGATGGAGGGCAGGGGTCGGGTGTGTGGGGGTTGTTGGGCTCAGTCGTCACTCTTTCCCCTTCAGCTTGTTACTCCTGCTTGCCCATTATCAGGATGGCTGCTCTTCATCATGCAAGCCATCTCTGCATGATGTGGTTATTAATGCGCTGGGTTATCATACCACTGCACCTGTCTGCTGCTTGTCTTCATTAGGGCAGCAGAGGGCCGGAGAATCATATGCAACAGTAACGTGAATTGATTTAGCACACATATAACGTGTTCAGAGCCCACAAGGAATGTTTGCACCCCATTTATTGTTCAAGTGAACAAGAATTGAATTTAAAATATCTGTTTAGAAATAAAGAGGTCCTCTATGGCACCAAGGAGATCCATTCATCCGGCCCGGATGTTCAGACATCTGTCACTCTCAGCCCCAGTCCCCCATGAGAGCTCTCCTGGATGTTCAGGCGCGCTCAGAAACATCTGGGGCCTGAGTGAAGCATGTTAATGGCGGTTAATTAACTACAGCAGGGGTTCGTCATGTCACAGTCATGTTCTCATTCAGAAAGGATAAATGGACATCACCAGCAGGTGATGACTTTCTCTGACACTGCTTGTTCTGCAGCAATAGCTCCCAAGGGACCTCCCTGCAGCGTCACTGCCAACCCCAGTCACTGTGGGCATGGTTGGGTCTGAGAAAGGATCCAGATGGGACTCCTGTTAATAATATAATGTATGAATAACAGCAGCCAATAACAGTCTGTATCATTGTTTTTAAGTTAGGTTGACTAAACCGGTCAAAATCCACCATGAAGGGGTTCAAAACTGATGTATATTAAGCACTAAATGAAACAGACTGTCAGAAGAGGCTGAAAGCCGAGCTGCTGTAGATAGAAACTGATCATTTTTTAGCATTCCTACATAATTTCTTTAATTTGTATCATCACAGTTATCATAAGAATGGTCTTTGATGTAAAAAATCAGCTGATCAGATGATTTAAACAACAAAAAATGTCAGAAGGGGCTGTGAGCTGAGCTGCTGTCGAAAGAAATTGATCATTTTTTAGCATTCCTACATTATTTGTTTCATTGGTATCATCACTGTTATCATCAAAAGGGTCTCATGATGTAAATTCATCATCATCTCTTCACCATCTCTTCTGTTTTATTTATATTCAAAGCAGTGTTATCACTCTTATTTTAACTGAACTGGTGACTCAAGCAACAAAAACACAGAAAAACATGGTTAAAATGAGTATTCTTCTAGTTTTTTGTAAACAGTGTGTAGGGAGGGGCTGTGAGCTGAGCTGCTGATTGTTGTTTTAACTTAAAACTACCTCTGAAGAGGTCTCAGGCAGTTTCATCAGCAAAGTCAAAGCCAACTTACCCCGTGATTTAACCTGAAAAGCACAAGAAATAAGGATAAACAGGGGACTGCAAGCTGAGCTGATGCCCACAGCACTAGTGAGGAGTTTAGGATCAGGATCTTCTGTTTTCATTGCTCTTAGACTGACACTAAAATCACAATTTTGTCTAAAATATTGCGGTTTCTTCTGATCTTTTTGGCGAGGGCTTCAGTGGCTGTGTGCTGAGCAGCCGAGATGAACCCCTCGATTGCAGCGTCACTAAACTTTCCATGAACATCCCAGTCTGTTCGCAATGCGTTATCTGGCGCAATGATAGAAGCAGATCCTTAAAGGTCCTGGAAGCTGCACAGAGGTCAACATTGTCCTGTTCCTCTAGACCACCTTAATCCATCACTCTGTGGTCCAGTTTAGATGCTAACATGCTCATTGTAGGTGCTTGTTGTGGTGGTCGACATCGGCATCACGCAGCCTCCTTGCATTGTTTTGTTTTGTTTCTTTTTACATTGTTGTTGGGATTGTTTTATTTCCCAGCCGAGCATCGGGCTCTTGCAACATAAATGTAAAACAATGTGCACACTGACGTCCTTTAGAAGTAAACTGTGTTGTGAGTGAAATCATGGGTGTGATCACGTCAGATGGAGCACATAAAAGCCTTATTTTCAAAGGACTCTGTTGTCATCTCTCCAGTTGCTCTAGTTTCAGTCTTCCCGTACTCCTCAGGGATCCCTGTGACAAGCCCACGGTGTGTGTGTTTGTGTGTAAGTGTGTGGGTGTGTGTTGTGTTTTGAATATTAAATGACAACAGGCACACCCACGGGCTCATGATTTCCCGTCTGCATGGCATCTGTTTCATCTCGGAAATCGAACCCTGGCGTTAACCCGGCGATTGTTTGGAGATGATCCGTCCTCAGCAGCTTTTCCACCTGGATGAGTGTTAATGGAGGCTGCTGAGGATGCCAGAGCTTGTCGTTTTCCGGGCGGTATACTATACTGTGTTTATCCTGGGCTGAGCTAAATTACCGGGTGTTATGGTCTGTTTTATGCAGAAGTTGTAGGGGGCATTTTGGCCCCCAGCTCCTGGGCACAGATTCAGAGCGGAGTGATCTGTATACAAAGTGAACTGTGGCCCATAATTGGAACATTTCTCTGGGTTTATAGTTATATAAGTGTGTATTTGTTGTCAGATTTGGAGGTAAACCCTGTTTAAACCTTTCACAGAGGACTTTTTACTCTCTTTTGTGCCGAGGTCGGCTCTTAAACAGCCCTTTGCTTCGAGATGACAGGTTTCACAGTCAAACAAATCTCTGCAGGATCAACACGCGCTGTATTTTTCTCAACAGCTTTGGAAAACAGCCTTCAGACTTGCTGCCAAAATAACCGCCACACTGATGCACTTTCACACTGTTCATCATTTCTCGCCACCTTGAGGGTAGAAAACCTATAAATGAAGATGCGCACAGCTCTGCTTGCCAAGCGCCATCCCTCAGCAAGTCATTTACTATTTTTACACGGAGAATGCTTTTTATTTTTTCACCCTGCATTCAGGCGGAAACTTAAATTTTGCTAATGGGTGAAGTTTTTCAACAATAGAGACAGTTTTTCATATACGAGGATGAAGTGGTTTTTGCCTTATTTCTGTTAAAAAGTGTCAATTAAGGTTGATGTTATCCACACTTACCTGACACGTCAAGAAAAATGGCTTTTCCAATATAGTACCTGCCCAAAATAAGACCTGAGTTGCTTATAATGAGTAAAAAAGAAACCTGCCAATGGAATAAGAAAAAGTGCTTTTAATGCTTAAAGACTCTAAAAAAGACTGAAATTCATAAAGAGATCTTTTTCATAATATCCAAAAGCAAAGAAAACCATCTACGGTATAATTGATGACTTTTATGTCTTAATTTATAATGTCTGAATTTGGTGTAAGGGGGTCGGTAAATAAGAAAATGTCTGATTTCATGAACCTGACAAGTTTTTGTTTTTCTGAATTAATCAGCAGATTTAATTTTCAAACTAATTTCAAGCAGTTCAAGTCTTATTGTGGTGTATGATATCTGGAAATTAGACATTTTTCTGAACTTGTGAGGTGAATATGGCTGAAATTTTAACTAGAAATAGGACAAAATCCACTTACTAAGATGTAAGATTTTGCTGCATATTCATTCAATGCTGAAGTACGGTTGCTGAGAACTGCCATTGCTGCAAATAAAAAAAAGAATGAAAAAAAAAAAAAAAGAAGTCACAATGGAAGTTACTGATGCAAAAAAAAAAAAGAGAGAGAAGCCAGCTGCAAATAAAAACAGAAACGGTACAGATAAAAAAGCCACAACTACAAAAAAAAAGTTACTTACTGCGAAAATAAAAGGATGCAAATAAAAAAAGCCACAAAGGGACCAATAATGATGATGCACCTGTGTTGTACGATCTAGTCACAGAAGACGACGGCGAAAAAACAAGCAAAGAAGTTAGTGGAAAGGTTGTTGTTTAATTTCGCTTCGTAAACTTTTCAATGTGTAATTTGGTTAGGCCATGTAGCGCCTGAGTTGAACTGAAGCTAATACGACACCGACATCCTCCAGTTCAGCTCTATATTGACTCTGCTGCTAATGTTTCTTTTTTTATTTGCAGCAGGCTTCAATTTCTTTTTTTTTTTCATCAGTAACTTCCGTTGTGGTTTCTTTTATTGCACTCTTTTTTTATTTGCAGCAGTGGTGATTCTCAGCCACCGTTCTGAAGAAGTGAAATAAAGGTTTAAAAAAAATATATAAAAAATAAGACGGAGTGAAAAGCCGGGCCTACAAGCCACGCCCCCTAACACAGGGAAAAAGATATTTGAAATTCGCGGCATCCGAGGAGCGCGAGAAAAAAACGGTTACCATTTTTAAAGCAAACATGTCAAAAAGACATGTTAAAGTCACTGTCTTTTTTTAAAAAAAACAGGAAGAGTTTCATGACAATTCAAAACGAGTCAGAAAAGCCTCCAATAGCGGCGACAGGGGCAGCAGCGGTGGTCATGTTAACGGTCAAAACCGGCTTCAACCGGATGCTAGCGCCTCAACAGCTAGCCGGGTTCACCGACAGCCGGCCAAGCCGGGACAGGAGGCTGGTATCGCGGCAGCAACTGGTCAGGTTGACCGCCGGCCGGAGCAGGAGCCAGCTACAGCGCCAGCAGTCAGCTAGGTGAACCTCCGACAGCCGGAGCAACAGGCGGGTACCCTGGCATCAGCTAGCCCGGTAAAACAACCGGAGGAGGAGGCGGGAACCGCGACATTAGCTGGTTTACAGCAGGAAGATTCTGAGGGAGAGGAGAGGAGAGCGGACTGATGAGGAGGAGGAGGAGAGGACTGTGGGACGGGAGGTCGTGGGTGGTTAAAGGACACAGAACTGACACAGACACACGGAGTAAAACCTGAAAACAAGAGGAGGATGAGGAGAATCCGGACATGCTCGGGATGTGGGGTGTTTTGGACTTAAACATGGTGAGCAAACTGTCTATAAAAAGGCCGCCGAGCCAATAATAATAATGGAAGATTTATGTGATTTATTAAAAGCTCTTTTTTTTTAACGTTAGACCTGTGTAGAAATTCATTGGTGACTCTATTTTGTAAGTCCCACCTGTGGTGATGTGGGCGTTTGTCTGTGCTGTACGCAGTATAGCCGAAAAATATTGTAAATCATCATCATAACATTTATACCATGGATATTATCACAAATTGAGGATTGTAAGTCCCACAGCATAACAAGTGGGCATTTGCATGTTGTTTTCAGCACGTTTTCTATAGGGGAGGCCGGGGTAAGTTGAGCCACCCCCTGTTCCTTGGTAATGGTAAAAGAAATTGATCATGCGACTAAATATTTAGGAGATGGGCATCAATTCATGGAGTCTGTGAAGGTTAGAAGCACTTGGGTGAAGGGGTTGGACATTTATTCCCCCAAAAAACATTTTTCACTCTTTAAAGTAAATTTAGTCTGTCAGAAGTTTGACTAGAATTGTGTTCAGACCAAAAAAAGATCATTTTAAATTTGTTCAATACATTAATTGAGGTATCTATGAGCTACAACATGAGGTCAAAAATCTAACATAAAAGTCCAATTTAAGTTTGAGTGAAGCATGCAGGTGCATACAGGTGCATGTTTTACTCTATCTCCATTAACAAACACTGACAGTGTCCTTTTGCACTCAAAGCTCATTTCTGCAAGTTTATGATCCCTCAACAATCAATAACCAGCACACAGGAGAGGTCGCTGAAGCCAAAGCGGTGTATATCAAATACTATAACTGCAGGGAAAGCCAATAGATTGCTGCCTGACAAGTATTTTGACGAATGTAATCAGTGCTTGAAATTTGGCACAGACGCTGATCATTCCCAGAGGAAGCCTTGTAAAGCTTTGTCGGTCCTTTAGTTGATGAATGCCACCATTATCGGGTTAAAGCGTAAGAACAAACCTCAGATCTAAATCCAAAACATCAGACTTGTTTGCATTACCCAGAGTTCCTCCTCTGAGAGCCGTATATAAAACGAGTTGTTGGCCCTCTTATTGGCGGCTCGCCCGGGAAGCCCTTTACGTTTAATTGGCCTCCAGTTTGTTTTGAGCTGCACCCACCCATTATGATCCCTCATAAACATGGGGGTATAAAACCGAACTGCACCTGAGCATGGAAAGAGAGAGAGAGAGAGAGAGAGGGAGGAGGAAAAGCACTCTGCCGCTAATGTCATTAAAGAGCCCTGCGTATTCCTCTTAGCTATGGAAACCCTTATCTGTGAACACACACTTCAGCTCACCCGTGGTCGCTTTCAGTTTGGCGCATATTCAAATGCCCTCCATCATGGCCACTAAAACCGGGAAGCCAGCGGCAATAATGACGGAAAGGTCACTTCAAGCAACAACCTTTTAATTGGATTTGGCTCTTTTCTCTGCAATCAAACGCTGTCCATCAGGGGTGTCGTGCCGTCTATGTGTGTGCATGTGTCAGTGTGTGTGTGTGTGTTTGATGGATCCTCGGCAGCTTTTCCTGTCAGAAATTGAATTTTTTAAAGAAACAGACCTGTGAGTTTGCATTTTCAGAACTCATTAACTACAATTTACATATTCTTGTTTTGCAAAGCAACAAAATCACTTCAGCTGTAGGTCCGTCATTTCAGAGAATATAAATGATAAATTCTTAGACAAAGACTTGAACGCATAGGTTAAATTTGGTGGTACGGCTTTGGTTTGCGCGCTCCATGCCCTTTCACATGCTTGCATGGTGTGCCATAGTCTGCAGCAGGTGTGAGGATGTAGGGCTGGGCGATATGGCCTCAAATTAATATCACAATATGTTGAGCAGTTCACCTCGATAACGATAAACGGACGATAACTACTCCACTAACTGCTCACCCAAAACTTTTGAACCGTCCTCCATCTCCTCACCTGTCTTTCCCTCTTTGTTACGGACTGGATGGGGTGGAGTCATGTCTCTGATGTAGGACAGCGTCTTAAAGGGACATGAGACCATAGCCTACCTACACACATCCAAAACCAACTTTGATTTATTTATGTTTTATGACACTGAATATATAATGACGTCGGTTATTGTCATAAATTTTGGTATCGGTAAATTTTCGGTTTATCGTCCAGCCCTACAAGGATGTGGATGTGAGGAAGTTGAGCTCAGGATCAGCCGATGTAACATTTCTGCTCCTGAAGCTTAAAAATCTCATTTCTCAGAGCTGGATTTGGCGTCTCTTTCGGCTGCCAGCTTCCTCCGTGCATGAATTTCCACATTTGCATGATAGTTTTCACACATTTTGCTGCTTTCTTATTTTGTTTTTTGTGACAACTTACTCATGAATTTGGTAGTTTTTCCACATTTGAGCCGAGCATCCACAGAGAAGAGTTAAACCTGTTGTTTACGATCAGAGTCTAACCTGAATGTGACACGTTTTTTTTCTGAGCATTTTTCCTCTTTTTATATCCCTGGAGGGAAACTCACATATCAGACGGTACATCATGAATGTTCCCATTCCAGTTCTGCTTAACTTACCTACTTCCTTAATGTCTCATGTTGTTTCTAATATTGAGCTGTATAGTATCGCCAGGAGACAGACATCTTTGCACGTATCTCTTGGAGTGAGCTGCGTCTACTCTCTAGATGGATTTAACCTTGTTAGTTGTTGTTTTTGTATCCCAGGTTTGAGGAAGACTTGCATGTCGCACATCAGGGCTGTTCCCATCAACCCCCCGCTTAGCTCCTAACCACCTTTTAAGCTCTTCCCCTCTGTGGTTTTCCCCTCATTATTGACAGATCTCAAGCAGCCTTCTTCAAGACTCCACTGGCTTGTTGTCTGCTGGGTTTGTGGAGTGTGCTGTTGCTGCAGAAAACAACTTTTAAGTGGCTCTGCGTGTCTGTGAGACCATGAGGCAGATTCTGCCCCATTTGTCTCCTTGACACTGTGTGTAAACTTAACCTTGGGCTCGTGGGAATTCAATAAAAGTGGCCCCAGAAGCAGTGATTTAAATTATGATTCTCCCTTTTCACCGCTGTTTTGGCGGGATAAAGGTGTGCAATCCTCACTGGGAATTGATTTTTTCCGGGAATCCTGCACCTTGGTGGGGAATATGAAGGATGAGAACAATTTCCACAGCCGGAAGAGGGTTGAATCAGAGTTTATTGGGTTTTTTTTATAGATTGGGGAAACTTTGCAGGAGCTGGTTTTTTCGTGCTCAAAGTTGTTTCGGCGTCCTGCTGCACTGGGTAAACTTTCTGTCACACGGCGTTACAACACCAGAGGGATTATTTTGGGGACTGCTGTGAGCTGAAGGAGGCGTTAAAGTGGAGAGAAGAGGATGAACAAATCACCTCCTGGATCTGAAGTTTGAGACATCTTAAGCTGCAGGAGTTTGAGGAATTTACACTCTGTCCCTTCAGAGCCACCCTGATTTTTTTACTCCACCTGCCTGCGCCTAAACTGAAATCACTGCCCGGGTTAAATTCTAACAAATCTCCTTGTCTCCTCTCTTTCAGGATCTCCTCAGCTCGCCTGACTGCAGCGATGAATACTGATGTGCGGTCAGCGGCGGAGCAGTGAAGGCGTCGGAGGAATCCTGGTTTGATGTAAGTTCAACGCCCTTTAACCTGTTTATATCTCCCCTGCATGACTTGAATCTGTGCCCCCGACTCTTCACTCTTCATCCTGTTAAATGCCGGAGATTCTCGGGCACATTGGATTTGCTGGAGAGAATCAGATATAAGGCATGACCTTGTGCTACTTGGCTTTGAAACCAGAATCATATTTAAATCATGCAGACGTGGGACGAAGAACATTGTGTTCTCCTGTGTTTAACCGCTGTGGTGTCAAGTTCTTGTAATAGGATTTAGACATATCCTAAAAATATCACAAAATGGATCATAGACAATGCATGTTAATTTGCACTGCATGAAATACAGGGTGAGGTTTAGTGAGAGAGTTTTTCTGCAAAATCTCCACTGCTTATACTTTTTAAAATCAGTGCCTGCAAACCTGAAATACCCCCATTATGTTCCCCTTATTATGAACAGACTTAAAGGTGGGGTAGGCATGAATCCGTTAAAGAAGCATCTTTATTTGTAGTGTAAATACAAAACAGCTTTTAAATAGGTATTAGTTATAGATGAAATTTGGGACTATCACAATATTGCTGTTTTCTTATGCTTGTGTAGTCAACATTTTCAAGTTTTTGACCAGTCTGCTCATTCTGACTGTAAACAAAGCCGTTCTCCACCTCCCCGACCTGATTGGTTGCGAGGCGGACGCTGCTCCCTCGCGTTGTGAGGCACGCTCCACGTCCTCAAATAACGTGCACGAGCCCAAACAAAGTTAGCGTGCTACGATATCGGACAGTAGAAAACAACCAAAAAGTACAAGAAATTGTCTGAATCCTCCTTTGGCCACGACTGCCGACACAAGCAAGAAAATGAAGGAAATACCGGAGACTCTGGAGGAATAACGGGCGCTTAAAACGGAGGTAGACAACAATTGGGGACGCTTCAGAAATGCCACAGATGCTTGCTCTGTTCTGTACCATGGGGGTCTTTGCTGCAGCTCTCCCTGCCTTGGCTTTTCATGCATGCGCATGGAGGGGCAGGGAGCTCTCCGAACAGAGTGATACCACCAAATATATCAAATATATCTTCTTTTTGTCTAAGTTGGTCCTGCTTTTTTGCTGCAATGTCAACAGGCAGTGTGGTTTGAAAGTGATAAACAACCAGAATCATGGTTTTTAAATTCTTCATTTTAATTTTAATTTTTTCACAAAGCAATTACTAAATAAAGTCTTATATAGTTAGGGAGTAAATTAAGAAATGCTGTTTGTTTTTTACAGTAAAGTTGGCAGAAAGTGAATCTTGCAATCACTTTATAGTGGTTTAATTTAATGTTGCTGCCCCAACATCCCCTCAAAATGCATTAGGAGTAATTAAAAGTGTTATCACCAGTGGCTGATGATGCTCTTTTATTGCTTGTATAATTTATCTGACCACACTCCACTCCACTCCTCTACTCTATACTCCACTTCAGTGCAGTCGACTGAAGGTACTTTGAAGATAGAAGTGTGTTTCCTGGCACACTTCACTCCTCTCCTCCCATCATAGTCTTCCTACTGGTGCCTCCACATGTGCCTCGGCGCTCTTTGTTCCACTTCATTGGGGTGTGTGCTCATGTGTGCACTCCTGTGTCTGTCTGTCTGTCTGACTGTCTGTGTGTGTGAGTGTGTGTCTGTGTGCACCAAGAGAGCATTTTGAGTATGGGTTGGATCTCTGTGTTTACTCCCCCACCCCTTTTTTCTTGTTTGACGAAAGTGTGTGTCTATTTGAGAGTGTGTGTGTGTGTTTGTGTCTGTCAGTTGCAATGTTTGAAGTTGAGTGTAAGCCTGCCTGGCATGTGTATGTCTGCATGTGTGTGTGTGTGTGTGTGCGTGGGGTGCAAATGAAGAAAAAGGCGGAGTGTGTGAGGGAATCTGTGCAGGGTTGCAGTGTGTTTGAGTGGGAGGATGCTCTGTTGAATGTGTGTAAAAGGGAGAAAAACACACTCATACGCTGTGTGTGCACAGTGCATGGTTGCTGCACGCCTCTGTAGGTGTGTGCAGCTTAGACCCCCCCCCCCCCCCTTCTGCACACACACATACATACAACTCCAGGGACGAGCATGTTCATTATTCTTCCTAAAAGAACCATTAAAATTTCATCAGTGCAATGCAATCTGTAGCAGGGCAGGGGGTGGGAGTGTGTGCATGAGTGAGTGAGTGTGTGAGTGTGTGTGTGTGTGTGTGTATGTGTGTGTCGGAGAGAGACTCAGCAGAGTGAGGGGTGGGAGCTTGCATCCTCCTCTCATTCACCACTGCCTGCCTTCATGCCTCTCTCTCCTCCTCCTCCTCCTCCTCCTCTTCTTCTTCTCTATCATCTTCCTCTTCTCTGGTGGCTCGATCCCCTCGCTGAGAGCTTCGCCGATGTGCAGATTACGACTTCTCTCATGATGTGAGCCTCCAGCTCTCCCACTCCCTCTATCTATCCCACCTCATTCTATTACTACTACTACTACTACTACTCCCCTGAATACTACTTCTGCTGCTGCTGCTGCTGCTGCAGCACCCTCTCTCTCTCTCTCTCTCTCTCTCTCTCACACACACTCACAGGCGCTGGAAGAGGCTTTCCTCAGGCAAGGTGCAGTCGGATTCTCACTGAGGGATTTTCTTTCTGCGTGTTTGGATGTGTGATGTAGTCGCGCTGGATGAGTCACATTCACAAGATTTCCCGAGCTGGATCCTGATCGGAATATCTCTTTTTTTTTTTTGTGCGGACTGCTCCTGTAAACTTGCTGGGAATTTTAGGTGAGCCACGCTTCCGATTCTCATGCTGTTGAGGCTGACTTGTTGATTAGCATGATTGATGTGGTCTAACTTTGATAGTTTTTCTTTAATTAGACTGATCCTGCACGGGTTTATCGTAAAGGGACCGGCCTCATTAGTGCTGCTTTTCCGGCATTGATCAGGGAAATTAGAGTCGCCTTTAAAGGAAGCGGGAAGTGAGCGAGCATAGTCGCCCACACACCCACCTTGTCCCGCTTTGTTTTGGCGGCAGGAGCACGTGGCGCCGTCTCTCAGGTAGATCTGATGGCACTAATTGTGTCCTAATTGGGGTCCTCCTAAGTCAGGGTGTGTTTTGGTTTCTGAGCGACACACATCCTGAGATGAAAGTGTTTGAGGAGTGAAGGGGAGCATGAGAGAGCTACGCAGAGAGCTGTTTGGAGTGTGTGTGTGTGTGTGTCTGGCCAGCCCTGTGTGAGCACCCTCTGTGTGTGTGTGTAGCTGTAAAAGTGTGTGATGTGTGTTTTTTCACAGGCCCATCTGTGGAGGTCCTGTGTGATGGATGGTGACTGACGGAGGGTGTGAGGTGTGTGAAGGAAAAGGAGGAGGAGGGGGAGGAAGGGAAGAGGTAGTGGGCTGGGGGAGGGCATTGGGAGGAGACAGGGAAACCGGTCCCCCATCTGTGTGTGTGTGTGTGTGTGTGATGTGTGTGTGTGTAAAAGAGACTAAATGTGGTTGAGCAGTACATCACAGACTGGCTAATGGAAAACTGGAGACTTGAAGGGTCTCCTCCTCCATCACCACACCTCGCCCCACCATGTGTGAGTCTGGGTGGAGGTAGATGTACACGAGGGCACTCTGGGGTTTCTGTCACTTTGTCCCTCATTTGCAGGAATTTAAGTTGAGATGAGGATAGAGAGTTGGTTCAATGACTAAACGTTCCACATTTGAAACCTGAATGAGGTTTGTCAGATAGTAAATATAATAAAAAGCTCAGAGCTTGGCTTGGAAACATTGGGGCACATGCAAAATGCTTTGACCAGTTTCAGCTTGAGTGAGCTGTATAAATGACTGAGAAACTCGAGCCTATGAGATATGTAACAATAAATATCTGGTACTTTTAGTGTGGTAAAGACACTTAAACTTAGTGGGAAGTCTGAGAAGTTAAAACAGTAGTAGTGTTGAAATCATAGATTGCATATACTATGGACAACTTGGCTACTCCTTCCGTCATTATACAAATTTGAGGCCGAATGGCGCTTGGTATGTCCAGGATTTCCTCCACTTCCTGTAACCAACATTGCGCAGTAGCGTTGTACGCACTCCACCACTTGCGCAGTGTGCGCATTCGCGGGAGAGTCGCCGAGAATCACTGTGATGACGCTCAAACAGCGTATCCCCCGGGTGAGCTGCACAATCTTTGAACGCCCATAGGCTGTATCAAGTGTCAATCATAGAAAACATGAACCCCCTAATAACTTTTAAAAATAAGGCTGCACAGAAAAAAGAGGACTTGAGCACAAACCAGTCTTACAGTAACTACATCACAACACTGCAAGCAGGGGAGAAAAAAAAATTTATATATTTATATTCTGTTTAATAAATTTCTGAAGTCTACAACTCCATAGTGATTCCCGGAGAAGGCAGGATTTATGACCTATACTGCAGCCCGTCGCCAAAGAGTAAGAATAATTAGTAATTATTAATTGTTCTCGCGGTGGCTTCACGCCGCGAGGAGGCGGATGGTATCCATTCTACATACAGTCTATGGTTGAAATTTGATCTTACAGAGTACAAGTTGAATCAAATGAGATGACTTATGGTTACATGGTGACCTGCTCAAGGTCAGGTCAGTTAAGTGATTTATATGGCCGGGCAAATAAGATGTCATCATTTTTAGTGCTCACAGTAACACAGTATTTTATGTTGAAAGGGTTCCTGTGACATCAACCTTGATTTTTTTTTTAAAGAAAACTAACATTTTCAGTCTAAATCTGAATGATAAAGTTGAAGGTGTGGTCTGGGTATAGGGTGCAGCCAACTTTTAAAAGACATGTAGTGTATCTGTTTTACAATTGTACAGAATTGTATTTGATAAAGTTGAAAATACCTCCCAAAAAGCAGTTTTATGTTGCATATTTAAAGCAGAAATGGTTAACCAGTAAGAACAATGACACAGTGTGGAGTTTGTGAAACCAGTGTTGCCAACTCCTCAGTAAGGAAAGTAGCTATTGGCTATTAGCTATTAGCACTACAAATGAAGTTTCTTCTTTGGATTCTTGTATTTTTTAATGTCACAAAACCAACCCTCCTCCTTTATCCGGGCTGGGACCGGCAAAAATGACCTAATTGAGCCAATTTGGCGGAGTTACCAAGGTTTTTTTTTTTTCCTTACTGTGGAGTGTTGCCAACTCCTCAGTAAGGAAAGTAGCTATTGGCTGTCCTAAAAGTCGCTAGAGGTCGCTACAGGACGTCATCGCCTAATTTGCATAATTGGCCAAATTGTAATGGACGCTGTAAGGGAGCGGAACAATGTCATGGGGGAGACAAAAAATGAGTACAAAACACCCACTACAAATGAAGTTTCTTCTTTGGATTCTTGTATTTTTTAATGTCACAAAACCAACCCTCCTCCTTTATCCGGGCTGGGACCGGCAAAAATGACCCAATTGAGCCAATTTGGCGGAGTTACTTTTTTTTTTTTTTTAAATTTTTTAAATTTATTTATTATATATATATATATCAGGTGTAGGAGCTGGGGGATCAGGGATCAGGGGTGGGAGCTGCAGGATCAGGGATCGGGTGGTAGTTGCAGGATCAGAGATTGGGGTGGGAGTTGCAGGATCAGAGATTGGGGTGGGGTTCTTGGGGCTCTTTTTATTTATAATAAGATCTTCAGCCTTGCTGTTCTTCTGGCCAGGACAGTTGTTGGAGACAATGCTGGGTCTGTCTGCAGGATCAGCTTGAGGTCTGCCCTCAGGGCCCTCAGAACCCTGAAGCTCTTTGCGGAGCTCCTGGATTTTGAAGCGGAGGACAGAGATGTCTTGCTTCATCGTCTCTTTTACTGACATTGTCTCATTATATGCTCGGCCTAGGTCACCCTGTCTCCTGAGCTGGTTCAGGAGATCCTGGAACTGCTTCATCAGACTCTCCTTTTCGGCCTGAAGACTGACTGTTAAGTCTTTGAGGTCGTAGTATCTCTGAAGCCTTGGTTTTGCAATTTCATACTGCTCCCTAAGATCCATGACTCTGCAGTGCAGGTCATAATTTAGCTTGCTCTTTTCCTTTTTCTCAGCCTTCAACCTTGAGTATTGATGCTTCATTGTTCTCTCTTCTGCCAGTTTGGCTGTCAACTCCTTTACCTCCTGCTCCGCCTCAAAGATGTTTCTGTCCAGGGCTGTGTTCAAACCCTGGACCAATTCAATTTTCTCTTCCAGCGTCTCCTGAATCGAAATTTTCAGCTTGAGATCTTTTGCAGTTTTCTCCAGGGCTGAATTTTGCTGGGTTAATGCCTTGTTTTCCTTTTTGGCCAGCTTGTGCTCTTCCTCTAACACCTTCTTGTCCTTAAGTTTCTTCTGAAGCTCCTCGACTTGTAGCTTCAGGCTGGTGTTTTTCTCCTGGAGTCTTTCTTTTTCCTCCTCACCAGCCTTGTGTTTCTCCTCCAAGGCTATTTGAGCCTGCAGTTGAGAGCGCAGTCTCTTCACTTGGCTTTCAAGGTCCTTGTTTAAAACAAGGGCTGCTTTTTTGTTGGCTTTGAGAAGTTTGTACTCCTCATCCAAGTTCCGGCCTGTTGTGAGTCTGCTGTTCAGGTCGGCTATTTGGGAAGTTAAGATGCCCTGTTGTTGTAACAGGGGTTCTGTGTCTTGCTGTACCGAGTAACACTTGTTGAGGGTAGTGTTGGTTGTCCTCCCGCAGAACATCTGAAGAGCAAACATTTTATGTTGAGTTTTAGTCTCAATGTACTAAATATATACGCGATATATACTGCTGTATATAATAGTGTTGACTGTTGAACAGATCTCTCTTACGCTCTCCGACTCTGTACTGGACAGTTCAGTGTTTTTTGAACCATGACTACTCGTGGTTTGATTGAACACTTTGATTCAACATCAAAGGACAGATGATGTCACACCCTCGCATTCTAAAATCAGTGCCCCATAGTGATGTCACAATATAGAGATTTTTTTTCCGTTTCAATCCGTTGTTTTTTTTTAAATAACTCCATTTAAAAAACAACATTTTTTTAAATGATCCAGTTTTTGGGGAATGAATCTACAGTGCCTTGAAAAAGTATTCATACCCCTTGAACTTTTTCACATTTTGTCACTCTACAACCACAAATTTAAAAGTATTTTATTTAGATTTTTTGTCATAGACCAACACAAAGTAGCTCATAATTGTGAAGTGGAACAAAAATGATACATGGTTTTCAAAAGTGTAAACAAATAAAGTGCGGTGTGCATTTGTATTCACCTCCCCTGTGGCTATACTTTGTAGAGCCACCTTTCGCTGCAATTACAGCTGCAAGTGTATTGGGGTATGTCTCTACAAGCTTTGCACATCTAAAGATTGAAATTTTTGCCCATTCTTCTTTGCAAAATAGCTCAAGCTCAGCTGTGCTCAGGGTTATGAGCAGTGTTACTTTTCCTACATGGCTTGTGGCAAACTGAAAACGTGACTTTTTATGTCTTTCTGTCAACAATGGCTTTCTTCTTGCCACTCTCCCATAAAGGCCAGATTTGTGGAGTACACGACATATAGTTGTCCTGTGGACAGATGGTGACCATGGGCCTCTTGACTGCTTCTCTGAGCAGTGCTCTCCTTGCTCAGTCTGTCAGTTTAGGTGGACGGCCATGTCTTGGTAGGTTAGTAGTTGTGGCATACTTCTTCCATTTTTGGATCATGGATTGAACAGTGCTCGAGATGTTCAAAGCTCTGGACATATTTTTATAACCTAACCCTGCTTTAAACTTCTCCACAACTTTTTCCCTGACCTGTCTGGTGAGTTCCTTGGTTTTCATGATGCTCTTTATTGACTAGTATTCTCTAACAAAGCACTGAGGCCTTCACAGAACAGTTGTATTTATGCTAAATTACACACAGGTGGACTCTATTAACTAATTAGGTGACTTCTAAAGGCAATTGATTGCACTGCATTTTATTTAGAGGTATCAGAGCACAGGGGGCTGAATACAAATGCACGCCACACTTTTCAGATTTTTATTTGTTTACATTTTTGAAAACCATGTATCATTTTCGTTCCACTTTACAATTATGTGCTACTTTGTGTTGGTCTTTGACAAAAAATCTCAATAAAATACTTTTAAGTTTGTGGTTGTAGAGTGACAAAATGTGAAAAGTTCAAGGGGTATGAATACTTTTTCAAGGCACTGTATAAGTCTATAAACATTAAGAGTAGGGTTGGGCATTGTTTGAATTTGAACAGTTCCTTGTTTTGATTCTGGTTCCTAATTATTCTCGAACCAGAATTCTTTTTAGATTAAATGTGTGAGTGTCTTAATTGAACAACTTTTTATAAGCTTTACTATGAATTTCTCACAGGGCTATTTTCAACTAGTATATAAATATCAATCTCTGTCGTCAAGTTGTTCGTCTGTGAAAAAATTCACAGGCTAACATCGGTCGAATATTTGAGTTGACCCACTGTATTGACAGTACAATTTATTTGCCGCTTCAATGTTATTCATTTATTGTTTTATTTATCTGATTCTGACTGGTTTATACCAGCATGTTGTCAGAGCCGTACTTGAATCAAATTTAACCATCAGGTCCAATCATCGTCTTGGGCAGAGACTCACAAACGATAATCGTCTTCAATTCATTCATATCCATCTATTAATATTTGCTGCTGCCTGTGAAAACACAGTGATATTTGCTAATGTTAAGTGCCAAACAAGAACTGTTTCTTTGACGTGTAACACCACGCCCTCCTCTTCAGTCTCTGTCGAAGTCTCCCTCCCCCTCAACAACACCTCCACCCTGTTGTGAGTGTAAAAAGATGATGCATTCACAGCAATCAATGGTTGTAACACTGCTGTGCTGTTATCCCTCATTTCTGCTGGGGGCCTCAGTGTGATTTAGTGTGGCTCCTGAGGCTCAGTGTCCCAGCACGGTGCACCGCTGGGGGAGGGGGGATGAGGATGTGTGCATTTGTTTTGTGCATGTATTTGAGTGTGTTTGTTTTCATGCAGTGTGTGTGTGTGTGTTTTGCAAGTTCAGCATGGGAGTAAAGCTGGTGTATCTGCATGGATGAAGCTTCTTGAATTTGAGTGCAAAGTGGCCCCCCCAGTAATATCTATCATCCACCCCTCTGGGATTTGGATCGTGTGTGTGGAGATGTGATTTTGGCTCTCGTTGTTTAGCCTGACAGTCTGTTTTATTTAACATGGAGAGGCACTTCCCCCAACCCCGCTTTAGTGCGGCAGCTTTTTAAAGTGAGCAAAATTGAGCCGCTCCCAGTACTGGCGGTATATCACTTAGTCAATTACAACCTTCACAGATCTATTGGTAATAAAAGAGAAGTTTATGAAGCGTGAGCATGCCAGGCTGTGGAGGGAAAGGCTTAAAGAGAAGGAAGGGGGCGAGGCGAGGCTTTAAAGCTGAAAAATGAGGCTTTTGCTGTTTGATTTGTGTCGTATTTCTCTGCGTCATGCTGCGACACATCTCATTTTGACCCCTTAACCCCTGGTGGGTTCATCCCTGTTGGCTGTGACTCATGTTCATGTATGTCTGTGGATGTCTTCAACAAGCCCACGTGGCAAATTAGCCAACGGACCCTTGTGTGTGATAAATCGACCTCCCAAATGCCATCATGTGTAATTGAGATTTCACAGCTCTGATCACATTCCTCCTCTCTATCTTCTCCATGTTTAAAAATCCAAATAATAAGTCACGATGGCGCTCCTCCCTTCTTCGTACCAGCCTCTCCGCCACCAACCCTCCCTCTCCCGTGATTCACCACAGCCATAATGAGATTTGATGTTAATCCCAACACAATATCACAAGATTACGCGGCTCTATAATGCTCTGTGCAGGCGCTGCCGACGGTGGAGAAAGGGTTTGGCGCATGTCGAGGAGGCTTGGCTGACTGAGAGCACATTACTATAATCTAAGTGTAATTGGGTGGTAATGCAGCTTGTATGTAGATGAATGGAGGAGGCGATGCCTGTCGTTTGAGCCCAGAAGAGGGAGGGTGGGGACAATATAAAGCAAACAGGGAAACTGGAGGTGGCTCGGCCAGACAGAGAAGGACGCTGATAGAGTGATGCGTTGCCTGGGGAGGGCAAAAGGAGGGAAGAGAGGGATTATTTATCTCTTAACTGATGTCAAACTCTTGAAGCAGGAGTGGGTTGGTGAGAGATGGTGATTAATGAAAGACGAGAGGCAGGAGAGGGAGTTAGCTGAAAACACAAGGGAGGTATGTCGAGTGCAGTGGATTATATTTGCTCTGGAAAAAAGGAATTTCAACAGAACGGTTTCAAAATCAACGGCAACACGGAGAAATTAAAGGGGGTGATATTTAAGAGTTTCACATGACAGATGATGTATTTTTCCTCCAAAACCCTGCAGAAAGTATTGCAGTAAAAGGCTGTGTTTTAGTAAGGTAAATGCACTCGTGTCATGCAATAAAAAATCCATAAAACAGCAGGGAGTTGTGGGTGGTGCGTGATGCAGACAGCAGCTGTATGTAAGCTGCTGGTATCCTTTGGCTCTGTACAACACATGCATCATATTTTTGTAGTATTGTTGTCCTTGCACATCAGTAGTCTCTGTATCTTTGTGGTAAACAGAAAGCGTGGGGTCGAAGAGCCAGCTGACTCTCCAGTCTTGCTTCATGGTTTATCCTCGGGTGCCACGCCAGTTTCTCACGTCAAAAAAAGTGTGGACACGCCCCTGTAAAGCAGCGCAGAGGAAACAGTGGAAAAGCTACAGGATACCCACTCATCTGACTACAGAAAGTCAGTAAAAAGGTGATTCCTGTTCGCTCAGGAGGAGATTTAACTATCAGCTGAGGTGTAACAGGAATTAGTCAGTAAACAGGTTAAACCCAGCACCTGAGTGGATAACAAAATACAGGTCAAGGCTTTACTTATTTGCTATTTTTGCTGCTATTCTACCATCTGTAATGTAATGTGGCATTTTTAGAAAGTTGGAGTCGGTATGATTCAAGGGAAATAATTGCAGTGGTTTTGAGTAGTGAGATATTCTGTAAGCGGTAGAGTGGTGTTCACACATCTCTCAGCCTCAGGTATGTAGCATATGAATCTATAGTTTTATCTATAGTGAGTTTTACACCTGAGAAAGGTCCAGAGGGACTGAAATTCAGTGATTTTGTGCAGTTAACAGTGGAGTTGAGTAAATGCGTTGTGCAGGATGGGTTTGCAAGCATGAGTATGTTTTTATGAATGTATCTGTAACTATTTTTAACTATCTATATATTTTTCTATGTTCTGTTTTACTTGTGTTGTTGCAGGGCACCCATGAAAAAAAAAAAACCTCTTCTCAGTGGGTCCTCCCTGCAAAAATCCCAGGATAAAAAAGTGTTTTATAAGCAAGACGAGGCTCAACCTAGTCGAAAAGACCATCAATATTTAAAAATGCTTCGTTTTTCTCCTTTTTGTGGGCGCTGTTTCTGCTGAAACCGCCGCAGGGATCGCTCGCTTCACCGTAATCACAAGATGCATTATTTGCATGATCCCTGCAGCTGCAAAAGCCTTGATAGCCTCTGTCTTTTAATCATTAGTACATTTGTTTTTTAAACGCAACAATATTTTCTTTTGTTGCATTGAGGAATCTCACTGCCAATATGAGATTTGAAACCCCAGAGCAGGCTAGGGTGGTGGGCAGGTGCTGTTGGAGACAATAAACAGTGAGCTGCCAGTGAAACGTCAGGCCCAGGCGGCTGTGTGGAGCA